ATAAGGATGAGAGCAGACAACAAAGATGGACAGTGCATAAGTTAATTACTTATAAGGTAATAGCAATTGTATTGACATTCTGAGGGTGACAGTGCAGTATGTACAGCAAAAACTATTTGGGCTAAATTTATTTTTTAGTCTTTTCTGGAGCTTATCTGTACAGCACAGCTTACAGCATAGACACAGAAAATATTAGCCCATGTCTGTTAGATTAATTTTATCTGTTTTAAATAGGGAATAAACCCCAAGCAATTCAGCTGCATTACCAAAAGTAAACCATCCTAACGTTTGTGATGTTTCAGGCTATTTGAAGGTGTTTGATGGATCCCCAGTGAGATTCTGTGTTTTTTCAGCACTAATTCAGCAGAAAACCTTTATGAAGGTCTGTAATAGATTTTCTCTTTAAAAAAATTCAGTGTCACCTTGAAAGTAAATAGCAACAAAGAAAGCAAACACAGGAAGGTTTTAAGAAATGTTTGTAAAATTAAACCAAGAAAGCAGTAACACTACTTTTAAATTAAAGAGGAAATCCAATCAAAGAGTACTAACTTTGACCAAAATTATTAAAATTAGTGATTCTTGGAGGTTATGAGATGTTGAGTAAACTGCTGTGCTTCTTCAAATTCATTGCAGTAACAAAGGATACAAAAACTAACCCAACATATCGCTATTTGCGCATGATATAAGCATGTCACCTATTAACTTATGTTTTAGGAGACAGGAACACTTGACTGTTTACTTATATAATACAGAATTTTAGAATTAGTAAAGTTGTAGTAGTATTAATAGAATAATTCAACAGTTTTTCACACCAGTTAAATGAGAAAACATATAAAAAAATTATCCTTTATCATGTTGGTACAATCATCACTAATATTATTATCACTACTCCCATTAATATTATTATGTAGTTTTCCTTCATTATTCCTTTTTTAATTTTGATTGTTTCTTGACTGATTTTCTTAAAAATCAAATTCAATTGATGCCTAAAATATTGCTAAGAAAAAACTCCAAAGCAGTTAATTGAGGGTGAGATAAGGAAAGGGTTTAATTTGTGCCTATGCATAGATGTTACAGGACGTGTGCTCAGGCTGTGCTTGAGATGTTATATTTTATAATACTGCTTGACCAGTCCAAGTTTTGTCCATCCCGTAGCTTTTGCCCTGGTCCACCCCCGGCCCACCCCCTGGGAATTGGGTCTGGGGGCTTTTGGAACCACCTCTTCATCATCTTCATCATCTTCAGAGTACAGAGGGTACACGGTCACCCAGTTCTTGACTGTGTTCTGTTGTTCAGGCCAGGATATGAGTGTTCTCTAAACAGCCTAGGCCTTGCCTTGAAAAAAGACAAAACATTTTCTACTGAATTCAGGGGTAGAATTGATATGGGGAGCATGGAATGGGGTAAGAGGGTTGAGGAATGTGTAAACTAAAGGGTGCTAAAGGGTGAGGAATAAGGACTGCTGCTTCTAAAATCTACTTCTACTTCTTATAAAACTTAGAAAATTGGGAAAATAAGAAAAAAACAGGTGGACCTTATGGCATCAAATGATAGAGCAGACTAATTATCCACCTACTGTAATACCAAAATAATTTTAAATTGAAGTATTAAACCCCTGAAAGATAAGTATTAAACACAGAATTATATTTGCTGTTGATATAAAATATAATTCTGAATCTTTCTGTATTCTCTGGTCTCAGGGTCTTTTTCACTGTTTAAGTAGAATAATTAATTCTGAGATTCATGTCTCTAATGAATAGATGAAAATGCTGTTATTAGAACATGTTATGTACTGTATGCTGAAAAGACTCTAATTTGTCTTGATATGAATTATTCCTTTCATAATTTATGTCTTAAAGATCAGATATTGCTTTGAACTGACCTACATAGCATTAAGTAAATGTCAATGCTGGGCAAAAGCCTTCCAGTGTTGGTGACCTGAACAGAGATGTTGTGCCAACAGTACATCAGGTTTAACAAAGAGATATTCAGTGATTGCATGCAGATAATTTTATTAGCATTATTTTTCATCAACATTAATTGCTCTCAGTTTGCTTTATAATATCCTGCAAAAACTATGTGGAATATCCTATGGAAAACACCATGTGCTCAATATACAGCACCTGCTTTAAACAAAAGAAATTCTTCTCATGATAAATTCTGTTTTTATTGACACCTATGAAGGGTGATTGAATTGTTATTCCTCTCTGTTGAAGATACGGTTTCAGGAACACAAAAGTAATTTTCATCAGGAGGAGAAAGTATTCTTAAATATAGGATGTAAATCCATATGTATGGCATGGTTTATAAGAAGACAAAATAAAGAGTTCTAGTCAACAATAAGAAAAAGTATTTATTACATTAACAGGAGAGTCACAGTAAGCCTGTGAAAGATGATATGCTATATTGAGGAAGAACATGCCATGTGGTAAAAACCAGGAGAAAGCTGTTGCCAGTGTAACCGATGGTCATAAATCCATTCTGACTGTAGGTGCCTGGGGTTCCCTATGTAGGTCAGCACAATTTAGACCTTCAGCACTTTATTTTTCTTAACAGACTCTGGTATAATAATTGAGTAACTCATTAAATACCACAGACTAAGCAAGATCAAGTTGCACTCATGCTCACAGAGAAGTCCTTAATGAAAAATTCTTAATGATATCATATGTTGTTGTAATAATTCAGCAACAGAGGCAATTTCCTGTGGTGTAGTTTTTAGAATTTGAATCATTATCTACTGCACACTTGCACTGTATCTACTCTTTCATTATTAGCCTTGATTTTTTCTTCTTCCAAACTCTTGCACATCTCTGGATGCTGCGGAGCAGTTTGGCGCGTCAGCCCCCGAGTACCTGCACAACCACCCTGTAAGGCAGGGCACAGGAGCACATCAGGGGAGCCTGTTCTGCCCTGCCCAGCCTCCAGCACAGTGAGGCTGCAGTGGGGCTGCTGAGACAGGAACCATGCCTAAAAGAGTTAACTGAGATATCTTGACCTGCTAAGAAACCCCAATACCTGTTTTGCTAGAAGAACATTTTAAGAGCACTGGTTAATATCATGTTCTGTTCTGCTCAGTGGACCAAAGGCCTTATTATAGAAAGAATAGGAGTAGTACACACAGAGTAATAAATTAGGTAAACTAGACGCTTGAATAAGACCTAGAAGGCCCAGAGCCAGGATTTTGCAAGCTTGAAGAATTCAGGTCACTTAATTGAAGAGGTCAAATTGAGGAAGACATCCATGGCAACCACCAGAGGGATGAAGGTTTGAGGAGAAGACCTCCACAATAGAAGATTGCGCATGTCTGGAAAGACTCCGCCCAGAGACTAGCCTGCTTATTAATATGTATGTTAAATGATGTAACCATGTATCCTAAGTGTATAAAATAGCTTGCTTTTGCACTTTCAAGTCGAGCAAGTTTGTCCAGCGCGAGCTGGCTTGCTCCTAACGTTGAATAAACCTTGCTGCTTAAAGATCCAAAAGTCTATGAGCAGTTCTTTATACTGGATTTTTTTTGGATTCACTACTAAAGGAACAGTTGCTTCTCTCTCTGACATGTCTCTCTGAAAAACTCTTTAGTGACTGGATTTTGACCATAATGACCGCTTTATCCTCAGGAAATTTCTTTAAAGGAAAATAGCAATCTTTGGCTCTGGACATGTGTCACCTTACATTTGTGAAGTGGTGTCCACGTGGAGAGCTTGTATGATGCTCTACAAAGACCAATGTAGGTACATTTTTTACCAGTTACAAAAGATTGTTTAAGTCATGGCTTTTTAGACTCCTTAAGAAAAATATGAACATACTTTTCTGTAGAGTCAGTTCTTTCAAATACTTCAAAGGACAAAACCTCCTGAAGGTGACCAATAGAAAGGAGAAAGAACCATCCAGCCTCTATTTCAGTGCTTGTTAAATTGTATACAGCACTTCCATATTTGCAATATTTCTGCCAAAGCATGAGCATCCTGGCATAGAATTGTTTCTTTCTCTTTCAATATGACCTTTTAATAGCCTGAAACTATGAATAACAAGTAGAACCATGTTTTCCTGTCACCTATTTTGTTTGTGTATACCAAAATGCAACTCCCTGTTTCACAAAAAGTGGCACAACAAGGTGTTCATTTTCCAGTGGCCAGAAGTAGAACAAGAATGACTTCATTTCTTTTACTTTTCCAAGTTCTTTCCTCTGTACTTTTTTTTTAAATATTATTCTTCAAATACAGTCCATCAATTTCTATCTGGTTCCAGAGATGGTAAATTTTGTCTCTTTGCACTCATTTCTGCAAGTACTTGTTTCCTATAGGTGCTGTTTTTTCACTTTGTTTATTTCTCATATTGGAGTTAATTACATTTAAACAAAGAGTAGTGCTCAGGTTGCCATTGGTAATCTTAATAACAATTAGCAATTACAATAGTATACTATATAATGATTGCTCATTGTTATTAAGATTACCAATGATTAAGGATTTTCCTATGGGGAAATTGGGTTGCCTTTGGTGTGACAGTAAGCCTACCTTCTGTGAAAGCAGCATTGATTAAGTGGCTCTTGTGATTCCTCACATTCTACCAAGAGGACATTCTGTGTACTTCAGTTACTTCACGTCTTTTGTTACTTCACGTCTTTCCTGAAAAGCTAATGCTTTTCAATGTAATATTACAGGGGAAATAATCCTTGGTATCATACTTTTAAACTGAGAAGAAAGTCTGGATATTTGCTGTGCAGAACCTGTAGGAAGTCCGGGACAAAATCAATACTTCGATCACTACTTCGCTTCTTGATCTGGGTCATTTTTACACCTATAGCTAATGACCTTTTGAAAAAAACTGTACAGTACCTAGTCTAGGTATAAATATGAAACTTTATTCTCCAGAGTTGTTAGTCTGATACTTCTTAATAACACATAAGTTCACTATGCATTAACTATGTAGGATGTTTGACATTTATAATTCTAGACTAGAAGACAGGCATTGGAGAGCTGAAGCACCAGCTCTGTCCTTACCTTACCCTGTGGCCTTAGGAAGCCTCTTCAACTTTTCAGTTTCTCCATCTGAAAAATAGAGATAACATTTTCCTATCTAGGTAGCAGGAGTCCTTTGAACTAATTCATGTCTTATCAATTTTATGCAAAAGCAGTAGGAGTCAGTCAGTTCTGCAAAAATGATTTAGCAAAATGGGTTTTGGTCTGTTGAGAGACCATTTAAAGACCATTGGGAATTAGTATTTTCAAGTCATGATCAGTTTGGAGGAATCTTCACCAGTCATGGAAGAATAAGCACCTTAGGTTTTTTGGTTTACAAAGGGAAACCCTGAAGAGATATATGATAACAGATTTACAGACCCATGAAAGTATTGTATAAGATGACAGTGGTACTGTAACTCACCATTTCTCACAGTTCTGGAACTTGGGGACGATTGGTAAAACTGATAGATAGTAATTCCAAAAGACATATAAGTATGGTTTTATACAGCAGGTCATGAATATCTGAAGCTTCCTGCCACAGGAGTTCATGGAAAGAGGAAGTATTTTGAGGTTCAAAAAGGAGCTGAGCAGATTTATGGAATTTAAGCAAAGGATCTAGTAGTTTAATAATTTGCTCTTCTGATCTTCTTTGCTTTTTGTTTTAATGAAGATGTGAACTGATATTTATGGAGAACTGTTGGACTTTTTTCTATAGAAAAATGAAAGGAAAATGTTTGAGAAGGTCTTGAGTTCAAAGCTTTAAAAACACTTGCCATGAAGAAATCTTGCTATCTTAATCATTACAGACTTATACAAGTTTCTTCATGCTTCCCATTTTCTTGGGAAATCCACTGGCAAAAATGTTTAAAAAGTTATATTATAGGCTTTTGACACATTTTTTGTCTAACAGTTTTATAAATTCTGACTTAATACATTTGTTTGAATAAAATAACCCTACCAAACTGAATCAAGCAGCTTTTAACTTATTCTCTGTATTAACCAGATTTAATTCAAAGGTTTTAAACTTCAGCAACTGCCAGTGCTTAGAGTTAAAATCTCTGCCTGCAAAGTTCAAAAAAAAGAAAGATATTTCCCCTCTCTCTGAAAGAAGAATTCTTCAATAAAGCAGAAAGGACTGGGAGTCTCTGAAAAAATAAAAATTCTCTTTTTTTGTAAGATGAACCTGAACTAAATTGTAGAGAATAAAACGTCAAAACATCTTTATATCTACAATCAAAATATGAAGTTGTTGAGCTTATATTTATACAAAGAATGTTTATGCAGTGCAAACCCCATGAAATTATCATTAGACAGTTAAAATACTTATTTCTGTTCTGTAATTTTTGAATGACTAAGGGGGATGGAGGTTTTATGAAGTGTTGATTTACTATTTGAGAAATGTCACTTTTTATAACAAAAGAAAAGCTGATTTTCTATTCATACCAACTATTTACATTTACTCAAGTAAAAGTACTTGAGGATTCATGACAGGTTTTTTTTCTTTTCTATACAAAGATTTTTTCAAAATAAAATGAAAGGCAACTTATACTTCCGCATCTCTATCAGTTCCTTCTTTCCAAAAAAAATGTCATCTGTTAGCACATTACTTTTAAAATACTTTTGTCCAAATCTCTTTATCAATTTGTGCTCCTCCTAGTTTTCAGACCACAGAAGTTCTTATGACCTTTTAGTGATATTTAATATTTTTCTCTAGCTAATCACGAAGGAGTTTCAATGCTGTCAAAAAAACCCAAAAAACAAACAAACCAAAACCCTATTTGCTTTTAATCTTTTTATTTTTTTCAGAGAAGATAAATGTCAAGCTTTGTTCTTTGAATACAGCTACTCCCTTATTACAGCTTAGAGTAGTGCAGATACATAACTGTCTGTCTCCAGACACCTTCACAAAAAGAGTTGTTAATCACAGAGCATTCTGCCATGCATAGATTTTCTTGAGTTGTGGTGAATATGGTAGTAACCTTCTCACAAGTTGGATATTCTGCATTTTTATTAACTAGGACATTGTCTTGTCAGGAAAACACTTCATCATGTGCTTACCGATAGACTTCTTTCAACTTTCTTTTAGCAGCACATTGAAAATATTGATCCTCCTTTATCTCTGGCCTATTTATAATCCATTCCATTTGCTATTCATCTTCTGCTCTCTGTTTTCTTTTATTTTCTACCTTATAATGCTGAATCTGCCTTGCCCATTCTCCCACTCCCCAGCTATGTCCCACTGGATTTTGAATATAACCAAATGTGAAGACCCAACAATATCTTTGGATAACCTTTGCTAGTGTTTGATCACCCTCAAAGTAAAAAGTATTTTCTTACACTTAATTGGAAATTTTTTCTATATTTCAGCTTGTGCCCATTGCCTCTTGTCCTGTCACCGGCCATCACTGAGAAGAATCATGAACATTTAATCAAATGTACATTAAGTAATTTTTCTGACAATACTAAACTGGGAGGAGCTGTGGACTCCCTTGAAGGTAGAGAGACCTTATGGAGATATCTGAATAAACTAGGGAGCTGGGCAATCACCAAGCGTATGAAATTTGACAAGATCAAATTCTGGATTCTCCCCCTGGAATGGGGCAATTCTGGTTATAGGTACGAATTGGTGGACAAGAAGCTGAAGAGCAGCCCCCTGGAAAGAGAAATGCAGGTCCAGTTCAGTGTCACATTGAACATGAGTCAACACTGTGCCTTGATATTCAAAAAGGCCAATCATGTCTTGAGGTGCATCAGGCACAGCATCACCATCTGGTTGAGGAAGGTGATTGTTTCACCTTGCTCTGCACTGTGCTGGTGCAGCCCTACCTTGAGTGCTGGGTGCAGTTTTGGGCACCTCAATACAAGAGGGATATCAAAATATTAGAACACGTCCAAAAGAGAAGGACCGAGATGGTTGAAGGTCTCAAGGACAAGAATTATGAGGAATGGCTGAGGTCACTTGGCTTGTTTAGCTTGGAGAAAAGAAGGCTGAGGTGTAACATCATCACAGCCTACAACTTTCTCAAGAGGGACAGCAGAGGAAGAGGGTGCTGATCTCCTCTCTCTGATGACCAGCAATAGGATACAAGGAAATGGAATAAAGCTACTTCAGGGGAAAAGGAAAAAGTTTTTCACTGAGGGGGCGGTTGGCCACTGGAACAGGATCTCCAGAGAAGTGGTCATAGTACCAAGCCTGTCAGAGTTCAAGGAGCATCTGGATAATGCTCATAGTCATATGGTTTAGTTTTAAGTAGTCATTGCAATAAGTGGGTAATTGGATTCAATCATCCTTATAGTCCCTTCCAACTTGAGATGTTCAATGATTCTGTTTCTCTCCTCTTTACTCCCCCCGATCAAATATTTATACACATTAATAAGATCACTCCTCTCCAGGCTGAAGAGTTCCAGCTTGTTCAGTCTCTCCTCTTAAGGCATATACTCCAGTTGCTTATTTTTCTTTGTAGCCTTTCAATGGACTCACTCCAACACATCCACTGCTGCCTTGAAATGAGGATCTCAGTGAGCTCAGCACTCTTCTGAAAAAATGAAAATTTTTTCAGGAACCCATTTCACTGATGTGTATCAGTGGAACTGGGTGAAGGGAAGGATTATCTCCCTTGACCTGTTGGCAGCACTTCTCCTGTTGCAGCCCAGCAGGTTGTTGTCATTGTTAGCCATGAGGGCACATTGCTGGCTTTGATTCTGCTTGGTGCCCACCAGCACCACCATAAACTTCTCTGCCAAACTGCTCTACAACCAGTCTCAGCCTGTACTGATAACTGGAGTTATTTGTCCCTAGGGCTAGAACTCAGCATTTCTACTTGCTGAAATTCATGAAACTTCTGTCAGTCCATTTCTCCATCTTTTCAAGGTCGTTCCCAATAGCTGCACAACAGTCTGGTTTAACAACTACTCCTCCTACTTTTGCAACATCACTTGCATGACTCAGGTCAAACAGCAAACAATTTTAATAATTGTTATATATATTTCTTATCTTATAAAAGACAAAAAACCCCAAAAATTGTTCTTGCATTTACCAGCAAGTGTTCATATATATAGATCAATTAGTTCTTGTATATGCCCAGGTTAACAAATGTAGCTAATCTAAGAAACAAAATGCCCAGTAACATTTAGTATGCAGACAAAATATAAATTCAATACCTGAAGATTGCATATTTTTGAATGCTACAATAAATTGTAATAAAGAGAATAAGATTATATGTATTTTTATTTTTGCCTGAAAATGCAGTCTCTAAATCATACTTTTTGTAATGTAAAATTGTATTTGTAAATGTGTAATACAACATGATTTATCTTCAGGCAAGACAGCTTACTTTGGAAGTCTTGATGTTTTCATTGGCAAAAGACATTTTAGAGAATGCAGGTGTTTTATATTAAAAGCAGAGTAGCTGAAACCAGCTGTTGATCAACAGCAATAAAATTTTGATATGCAGGTAAGCTATCAAAATATAATTATCAGAGTTTTAGTACCAGTTTGACAATACTAATCTAGTACATACATATGCAAAGTATTTGTTTCGTCCCTGAACTTGGCAGAGAAATGCAGTGAGGAAGGTTTTGTTTTCACACCCCCTGTGATGGTGTGTATCCCCCCCGCCCCTTTTCTGCTTAGGCAGTAGGCACCAGTGATTCCTCCATCTGGCTTCAACTGGTCTCTGGGAAGACAGATAACACACAATAGCTAAGGGCGATACATCTTGCTGAGTTCTAGTTGAGCATGCGCCAACCAAAATACGGCTGGTATGCAAATGTGACTAGAAGTCAATCACATTAGTCCATAAATTATGGACACCCTAGGATCCATTGAGTTATCCTTCACAGCAGCATGCTGCATGCCAGAATCTCTTGATTATATTAAATATTGTATGAACAATATTTACAATATGAAGAACAGCTATGTTATCTTTAGGAGTTTAAGGAAATTAAAAAGCTCTAGATTTCTAGAAATTATTTTATGCTGGTTTTGACTGTCTATAAAAATTCTTCCAAGTGTTTATCACGTTTAACTATATAGAATTGCTTAATTAGTTGAATAGAAAATAATGAAAGTTAGACTTTCCCATTTA